AAATGCATGTCGTTAAATATTGTTGAAAGTCTCGATATTTCTAGAATCATTGTTCTATCGTGAAATGCATGTCGTTAAATATTGTTGAAAGTCTCGATATTTCTAGAATCATTGTTCTATCCTGAAATGCATCTCGTTAAATATTGTTGAAAGTCTCGATATTTCTAGAATCATTGTTCTATCCTGAAATGCATCTCGTTAAATATTGTTGAAAGTCTCGATATTTCTAGAATCATTGTTCTATCCTGAAAAACATCTGTTTGATTAGGATTTCTCCTCACTCTCTAATATCCGTTTCATCTACAGTAGTTGAAAAGAAAAAGTAGTGGGAAATAATCCCCTCGTATACCAAAACAAACACCGAAAACATCTTTTCTTGAATAATCTTTGGTACTTAAGTCCACGGGCGCCCGCAAGAAGGGGGCATTTACCCCTTACATCTCACAACATACTGCACGTATTATGATGTAAACTTAACATCGTAGTTAAACTAAATATTTTTAGTAATTTATATTGAAATTGTAAATTTTGTGTTAATTTAGCACGCATAACACACATTCTTTTAGTCTGTTGACCCCCCTCCCCCGAAAATATTTCTGTGGGCGCCCGTCATATGACGTAGTTGTGTCAACGAGCTCTAATCGTGCGCACTAGTAGGGGAATACTTGTGGGGGGGGGGGTCGATCTCTCCCCTTAACCATAAACTTTTTTAAATTTATGTAGAAATATATTCCAGTTATATTCAGATAAGTATTCTCTAATGTCAACTACCTTAGAACTATAAGAAGTATACGTTTTTTTTTTTGTTATTCGCTCAGTAACCACTGTAATATACAGGGAAGACATCTATCAACTACATCACTTACCAAATAGGGAGTTGAAATTAAGCCCCCTACTTAAAAAAAAAATCCTGGTTGTACGACTGACCTTAATAATTATTTTATTTTATGAATTCACTCTATTTCTAAACAAAAGGGAAAAAATGTTTTATGAACATAAATCGTTTCTATGCGCAGTGAACAAATAATTGATTGATAGATTTGTTGATTCTCCCTTTTATTTGAGTTTCGTTCTATATTTCAGCTTCGAAGAAATGAAGAGGTGGCTTAAAATCGTATTATTTTTATCTGTAACGGTAAGTGAATTAGAAATATCTTCTACATTCGAAAACCAAGACACGACTTGAACAATGTCGAGATGATTTTTCTTTTAACATCCAAGATACAGAGAAAGACAGACTTTAGTAAGGAGTGGCTTAAAATCGTATTATTTTTATCTGTAACGGTAAGTGAATTAGAAATATCTTCTACATTCGAAAACCAAGACACGACTTGAACAATGTCGAGATGATTTTTCTTTTAACATCCAAGATACAGAGAAAAACAGACTTTAGTAAGGTTTTCAATAAAATCGTGTAACCAGCTGAGTGGTGTGTTGTCAAATGTCTCGGATGAAAATAGTTCATGGGTAAAAATAAAAAAAAACTATCTTACCCGAATAGTATTATTGTTATTTCCGATTTTCTGTATTCTAGTATTTATTTATCTTGATGTTAACAGAGCATGCGCAACGAGTTTCCTTGATCTTCATTCGTATGGAAGAGTGAATAAAACCCTATCAGTTGTTATCATCACTCGTAAACTGACAATTAAAATCAATCACGACTAAATCGTTTATTTATCGAAATTATATTCATACACTTGAAAAATCTCCAGAGTTCTACCGGACCTACTTTAAATGGTAGCTAAAACGACACAGAACAACAACAAATCTTAACCATTATTTCTATTATCCAGAAATTTCAAAATTTGTTAAACTTTGAGCATCAATTTTGTATTGCACACTTTGCCTAAATTATAAGAACAGCTGATGTTACAATTGTTCACTGTATTTAACGCTGCTTTTCATTGTAGGCTGCCCCCCCCCAGTGGCACAGCGGTATGTCTGCGGACTTACAACGCTAGAAACCGGGTTTCGATACCCGTGGTGGGCAGAGTACAGATAGCCCATTGTGTAGCTTTGTGCTTAATTACAAACAAACATTGTAGGCTAACTGTTGAATGAATAAGAAACCATATATATAGTTTTTGTACGGCTTAGATAAGTTTGTGACATTTTTTTTCTTTTTGGACTGTCCTAAATATATGTATGTGTCTGTTTTGATTATTTCAAGAAATAATGAAACATTCTTTTTTTTTTGTATTACAGTTTTTTACCACGTTGTTGGTCAGGGCACTGGAAGCAAACAGTAAGTTTTAAAATTTAAATCTTATTACACCAGCTTATTATCAATGGCCCGGCATGGCCAGGTGGCTACGGCACTCGACTCGCAATCTGAGGGTCGCGGGTTCGAATCCCCGTCACACCAAACATGCTCGCCCTTTCAGCCGTGGGGGCGTTATAATGTCACGGTCAATCCCACTATCCGTTGGTAAAAGAGTAGCCCAAGAGTTGGCGGTGGGTGGTGATGACTAGCTGCCTTCCCTCTGCTAAATTAGGGACAGCTAGTGCAGATAGCCCTCGCGTAGCTTTGCGCGAAATTCAAAAACAAACAAACAAGCTTATTATCAGTATACTTTTTTCCATGTATTACTGTTTATCTTCAAAACTATGTTTATTGGGACTGTTGTCAACTAGCTGCTTTAATTTTATTCTAACGGTTCAAACTTAGGAACAGTCATGTGTAGCTTTGTACGAAAATTCCAAACAAACTAACAAACAAAATATAGGTAAATTCGTTGAAATGTATTTAGAAATTAAATTTTATAAATGAAAACAGTAGGAATATTAAGTCTAGGCCAACATTTCATTAACTTCAATTTAGATTAACGAAAATACATAATTATAACAAGAAATATCCGATTAATATACGGTATATATTTTTTGTTGTTTTGGAGTCTTCAGTTTAAAACGCCGATGATCATTTTCAGATGTTTGAATGACCCCTTAATGGCGTGTTGTTTGAATGAATCCTTAATGATGTGATGTTTAAAAGATTGTTTGATAAATTTAATTGGATGATGAAGCCCCTTTAACTCTTTTTTTTTAACGCTTGTCTAAAGAGATATTTCTAAGTGATTGTTTCATAAAATTAAGGTCGGGCGTGATTTAGTGGTTAGCAGGCCTGGCATGTATCAAAAGGTCCAAGGCTCGAGCCGTGATATGTCGCTAAATACGTCGAGCTGTGCTTATGATTGTGGAAGCGTTATACATGTACGATGAATTCCACTATTCAATTAAGAATAGTCATATAATAAGTAGGAAATATTACTGATTGGTTAATATTTTTTTCCCTGGTCAGCAGCTACAAATTAGAGATGCATGTGTGTGTTCAAACCAAAGTTTCTTTGTTTTTACTTTTACCTGGCTTTTCACCGTATGTGTTGTGTAACTATAAGGTGCATTTTAGGTTGAAAAAACCCCATAAACATTAAAATTTTTTTCTTACCTTATATAATGAAGGTCTTATATTGCTTTATACCCAGCGTTCGGATGTTCTTTATCGTACATTACTAATGTTATACACAGTCTAGGTTTACGTATTTCTAAAGTTATCTAAAAGAGAAATAAATATTGATTATCGGTTTCCACTTAGACAAAAACATGACTACCTAACTTTGTTGGTAAAGGGTAAAAAAAGCTAAAACAATTTAACATATTCATCAATAATACCGTATCTACAATAATTGGTAAAAGTGGGAGGGAGACACGTGCTCCTTCTGTCCTATGTGTTAGGCGGCTATGGATGAAAAAAAAAGGCGTAGTAATTAATACGATCGCAGTTAGATTAGTTTTAAACACAATAATTGTTTACATGAACTGGAGTTTTGTGATAGTTAGTTCCTGTGAACTTCTATTTCAATATGCATACACTCTGACCTAGTATTTTAGCCTACACGGGCGTTCTCGGTCAGAACAAGGGAAGAAGCGCAGTAACACTAGAGGGAGGAATAAGAATAGGTCAACACTTAAAAAGCTAACAATGTTAAAAGCTAACAATGACTGGTTGACATACATATTTCGCATGCTATTCTGTGAGAGTAGCCTAGTTTTCAGCTGGCGTGTTTTTCACGATACCCCATCAAATCGTCTCCCTCCGCCTCTGTTATAAATTTGAATAATAGATTTGTTTTAAATGGATAAAAAAAAAAAATAGAAAACTGGTTTCGCATTTCTATCAATAGTTGAGTTTTTGTTTGTGTGTGAGAGTGCTTGTTTTGTTTGTTTGTGAAGGTGGCAGTTGTTACAAAGTTAGGGATGAAACGAAGGAAAAACTAAAATATTAATGTTTTACTTTGATTGTCGTGTTTACATGTTTTACTTTGATTGTCGTGTTTACATGTTTTACTTTGATTGTCGTGTTTACATGTTTTACTTTGATTGTCGTGTTTACATGTTTTACTTTGATTGTCGTGTTTACATGTTTTACTTTGATTGTCGTGTTTACATGTTTTACTTTGATTGTCGTGTTTACATATTTTACTTTGATTGTCGTGTTTACATATTTTACTTTGATTGTCATGTTTACATGTTTTACTTTGATTGTCGTGTTTACATATTTTACTTTGATTGTCGTGTTTACATGTTTTACTTTGATTGTCGTGTTTACATATTTTACTTTGATTGTCGTGTTTACATGTTTTACTTTGATTGTCGTGTTTACATGTTTTATTTTGATTGTCGTGTTACATGTTTTACTTTGATTGTCGTGTTTAAATAT